CATCACAAAACAGCTTTAAGTTAAATTTAGTAGAAATGTTTTTGTGAGGAAAAATGAGATTTAAGTTACAAAGATAAATAGCTTTGACACCATCACAAAATAGCTTTGTTTGATTGATTGTGATACTAAAGTATAGAGAATCTAAATATTTTTAGCAAAAAAAATAATACATAATTTAAGATTTCATGCGTAAACATGTTAGGGGAAAAAAACAACTAAACTTTAACAAGTTTAAACTCAATGTACCAAATAAAAATTGATAGTCTAATCAAGCATATATATCATTTATTTTATGAAATTTATTTGAATCAGGATTATTTATGCAACGTTTATTAAAAAATTAAAATAAATTTGATATAAACTGGAATCAAATTAATGAAAATAGAAAGCACAAAACTTAAATACTTACTGAACGTCGTTGTCTTGCCGTAATAGGACAATTACGAGGAGGCAGAGCAAGAACCTATTCGTTTCCAAAAAAATAATATTAGCATTTCAAATATCTTTAATATTTTTGAAATAATTAACATGAGCAAACACACAGTGCAATCAAGTCCAATAAATCAAAATTAAAAAGTTAGTATTCATTAGTAATTGTAAATTTTAAAAGTCCAATAAATCAAAATTAAATATATTTTTTTGAAACAAGGGTAAATTAAATAACTTGGTTTTGAAACAATTCAAGAGAACTTTCTTGCTGGTTAATTATTTTGTTGCATAAAATACAAGAACTTTTTTTCATTCTTTTGTGTAATGTGATATTTTTGAAACCYCCTAGTTATATTCAACAAATCATTTACAAAGAATTGCATATTGTTTGAGATGTTTTGAAAGCAGAAACAGAGAAACAAAACTGAGTCTGTCGTGGCAAAAAACCATATGGAGATGTTTTAACATGTCTATCACAGTCAAATCTATGTTTTAAAGTAAGAAAATGTCTAGAATGAATAGCCTGATTAAAAAKAAACTAAAAAAAGTGAGAATATTATCCAATCTCTTGTGCATGGGATATGAAATATCATATAACAATGTTTTAATCCCATACGAAACCAAACTGAAATATAACGTACAATTTCAATAAAAATTATAGTTTTAGTTCAATCGACATTTGTGTTTATCCGTAAAAATTGAAACGATTTGAAAGACTAGATACAATTTTTTTTAACGCAAATAAATAAGATTTCATCTCTTTCAGGTTTTGCGCGGGAATTTAAA